ATCCTTCCTGGGCTTCGCCTGTATAGTACCTGGTTCTCAAGGTACTGGCAAGTCCTCAACGCCAACATTGCCGACACCCTGACCACAGTCGATGTGCAGGAGCTCTGGAAAGCATATGCTGCGACCTTGACGCTTCTCGCCTCCAGCTTCCCTGTCGACCAGCTTCCACAGGAAACGTATATGCTCGAAGAAGACACAGAGACGATAGGTTTCCAACCTCTGATTTCGCCAGATACTATGAAGTTGTGGTATGACAATGATAAGATGAAGCAGAAGTGGACCGATCTGGAACGTAACCACCCCAATGTGGAGATGTTGATGCGCGTCAAAGACTTGCTGGTCGATGGCCTGGTTCTGACTCAAAATGCGGAGGCTCCGCTGGATCTGGACGGATCACGCTTCATCTATCGCGAGGAAGGATTGCCATCTGAGCTGCTTGCGAGCCCGAACAATCGTACAAACGGTTCGCCCGTCTTGCCTGTACAGGCTGCCGATCTCCCTCTCTTCGCTCCGGAGAAGGCCATACCTGAGGATCAACAGTCATACAGCGTGGCTGCAGGCTCAGAGTCTGCCTCGACTACCATTGCCAAAGACAATGCTATGCATCGCATGGTGGACGATCTGGTCGGAATCGATGACGGATTGGATCCGCTCCCTGAGGAAGATGAGAATATCCCGCCAACACCACCCGAGCAGACATTCGAGGATACAACTATTGTCAACGACACGACGTATGCGCCAGCGACCCTGTCGATCGACGATTACGTCAACACAGTCAAGAACTACAAGCCTTTGTCTCCCAAGTCAGCTTCTGCCATGTTGTCTACGCCCATGGGAAGAAGTGGATCTACCTCGTCTGTTCGACAGCCAGCACTCCTTCCCTCACTACCAGACGGTCACCATAACACAAATTCTATTTGGAACCGCCAGTCTTTTGGTGCACCAGGGCCATCTTCACCTTCTGCGCTAACTCCGAATGGATTCGGCAACAGTTTCAGCAGATCGCCCATTATCGGCTCGAACAATGGAATGTCTGGTCACGTTCGTGGAAACTCTGCAAACTCGCTGCTCGGAATGGAAGCTACCGCTACCACTCCCACCCACAGCCGAGCCCCAAGACCCATCAGCGGAAGTCTGGGTGGCGCAGCTTGGGGTAATCCAAGCGGCAGCCCATCGAACTGGGGATCTTCGCAACCGAACGGACATGGTGGCAACCATCAGTACGGCTATGCGAATGGACCAAGCATGGGAAGCCCGTTGCTGTTCAGTTCCTACAAGGGAAATGCGCCTAGTTCCTGGGGCCATACACCACCGAACGGCCAGGGTGGTTGAAGATTGATGATGCAGCCGTGACAGGCTGTCCATTGCTTTTCTCTCACTAACCGCTACCATCGAATAGGGCTCGAGCCGTAGTAGTAATCACTACGATTCATCCTCTCCTCCCGCTCACGCCTCGACATTGCAAGTCCCAGCCAAAATTCACTCATACCAGTGGCCACTCCAGCAATGCAATGGTCAATCACACCGCGAGCCAGCCAATTCCTTAACCGCGCTACACTTTACACGAGTTTGTCACACATGTGCCCGCCAGTCCTTGTCGCAGTAGCATGGGTACAAGTCCGACTACGTATTGCGCTTCAAACATCTTTGATGCGCAGACTATGCCGTGAGAAGCAAGCTCGTTTGCGCTGCTGTCTTGGATTGCGGATCAACTACGCTGCGGCATGCTGCGGCTGGCTATCAGTGCTTCTTTTTTTTTATATCAAAGTTGGAAATATTCTCACTCTTGACTTGTTTTGTTCAAATTGAAATATTCATCTTTGCGCTCTTAGTTACTATTATTTTAAAATTGAAAACACCTGTGCTCTTACCATGCGCTCTACCATTATCAAGATTGAAGAATCCACTTAAACGCTCAAACTATCTTCTAAACTAAGGAAACCCTGGCGCCTTGCATTGCTGTTTGTTTCCTCTGACGAGGCCGTGGTGCATGATCCATCCATTCTACACGCCCACATACAAATTAATCTCTAAACACGTCAATGTAACTTGAATACTCTTTAGTTTCCCTTTAAATGTCTACACAGTAAGAAATAGCGTTGGGATTATTACGCATATGTATAACAAGATATGTATCTATCTATCTATCTAATTACTTACTTGCTTACTTTTTATTAGATATTAGATATAGTATATAGCATAGATAAAGAATAGCAAACGTTGGATATAAACATGTTAGAATGTATATATGTATGTATTATCTAGTTGGTAAATTTTTAGAAGATTCTATTACATGGTTCTAGAGTTATCAAGCCTTGGATTGTTAATTTTCCCTAGTAAAATGGAGTGTCTGACTCGACCGTGTGTCCGACTCGACTGTGAGGTACGTTAGTACTTTTTTTTTTTTTACCATTGAAATTAAGTTTGTAATTAATCATCTAGTTTTCATTTAAAGAAATAGTGAAACTTATAACCTCTTGTATATATGATGTGAGAGTGAGACAAGTGTTGTATGGATTTTCCATTTACAGATTTCCTTGATACGTATGATGATATATATATATATCAGACTCCTTGTTATCACGCATCGCATGGTAAATCTATACCGGATACCGGTTATAAACCAGACCATGTTCGTTTAAACCCTCATCGCTAACTCAGACACGCACTCCCAAACGCCACGTGATGCTGTATATACCCATTACACATCCTGACCTGTCCGCCCCATACAAATACCCTCACTCCTACTCCTCTTCATCCTCCTCATCCTCCTCCCCGTCCTCCCCATCAACCATTTCAACAATCAAATTCCCACTCCTACCAATCCTTTCCCTTATCGTTCCCCCCTTCTCTACATCGAATACCTCTCTGGGCATCGGACTGACTAGTAGAAACCCATATTCATGTTGAAACCCAGTTGGTGGATCGATCTTCTCATCCCCCGATCCCAACCCCCCCTCACCACTCTCACCACTCGATGTAGATGTAGATGATGACTTTGAAGTAAGAAGATCAAAACACTCGACAAAAGCATACAACTCCTCAATCTCCGCCTGCGCATCAAACCTCCTTACCACACGCTCTGCATTCGGCATACGCAGCGATATTCTTACAATATCCTTTGGATCGGCGTTGGCGGGTGGTTCAGGTTTAATCGTGCTTGCGCGGTATTTCCGCCATTGCTGTAGATTCTGCTTGTATCGCTGTTCAGCTTGTTGCTTTTCCAGGGCTTCCTTCTCCTCTCGCGCTTTCCGCTCCGCTTCTTCTTTCTTCTTGCGCGCGCGTTCGCGGTCAACTGCTAAACTGCGTTCGTATGCTGAATCCTGCTGTTGGCGGATATTTCTTGTAGCAGCTTGTTCAGCGCGTTGATTGCGGACGCGGTTCAAGGGTTCGGCATGCGTGCGCATTGCGGCTTTGAGTTTGGAAATGTATTGTGCTGGGGATGTGGGGCCCGCGATGCGCGTTGCGATGCCCATTGCGGTAGACGAGACTTGGGGCGTGTGTACGATTAGGCCTGTAAAAGGGAATTTCGTACATGACAGGGCCGAGGAGACTTGGTAGGCTTCGCTGTCTTGGACGTTGCCGGCCCAGAGGATGATGTTGTTTTCGGGGTCGCGGAGGAAGGATACAACGGAGGGGGAGAGAAGGGTGTCGCGGATGAAGGAGGAGGTTGCGTCGTGTTCGGGGCTGACGAGGACGACGAGGAGAAATTGGAGGTTCTTTTTTGCGAGGTCGAAGGCTTGGGCGTAACCGGACTCGAAGAAGGGGAGTTGGTGGGTGCCGTATTCTTCTTCAAATTCGCGGATGAAGCGCGCGGCGGTGTCGCGGGGGTTGAGGGGCCGGCGACCGGATGCGCTGCTGCGTGTCGAGGTGCTGCGGATGTTGCTGGCTGTTACGCGGCCCCATGCTCGGGGGAGGAAAGGGAATAGCCAGCCCATGAAGCGCAGCCATTTTCCTAGCAGAGAGTAGACGAGCGAAAAGGGCGCAAAGACTATGGCGAGCACGAGCGGGACTTGGGTAGCCACTTGCCCTTCTGGCTGTGGTACCACCCGCGGGGCAGGTTCTATGCGTACGCGCCGTACACTACTCGACGAGGAGCGGGGCGATGATGTGAAGCCGTTGAGCAGTGTCTCTTGTCGGCGGATATCTTGGGGCGCGGGGGCGGCAGCGGCAGCAGCGGCGACGGGGTCTTCGGCTGGTTCGCCATCAAAGAAGCGGGCGATTGCTATTTGCACGTTCCATTGGCAGCGTGTGAGGAGGGGAATCGCTTTGTCTATTTCTTGGTCGGTGACGGCTGTGTACTGTTGGAGGGCGAGTTGTTGCTCTTCTGATAGAGCCGACATGTCTGCGCTCGAGTCCGCCATGTTGAATCACACGTCGTCTGCGAATCGTATGCGATGGTCGTGGTTGTTTTCCACAAGTGGAGTGGGGAGTGGTGCCGGAAAGGACTGTGGGTGTGGACGTGGATATTATTCAGTGTAAACGTGTTGCCTAGGCTTAACTCAACGGCCATGATGGCATTCGCGTGGTCGGAGCTTCATTGCCTGCGGACCGGCCCCCAGGGAAAAGGTGAGGCTAATCCTCGCTTGGCCCGCCACGCGACGCTAACACATTTGCGGGAACACTGCTTTCTGCCGTGAAGTGTTGCATTCGCTTTTCTGACATTTTGTGAGGCGTGATAGATGTAGAGTTTCGTTGGACCTTGTCTTGGGAATACAGATCAATACACGCGAAATATCTCTCATCTTGCAAGAATCAAGGGTGTTCATCTCATACTCAATCATCGCCCATCCCGTCTCCTACTCTTCCCTACCCCTCTTCCAACCCCACCATATGTTCTCCGACATCGCACACAACCCCTCACCCGCCGTGACCCCCCACTCGAGCACCGAAGAGTCGTCTTCGGACCTTATCCATCTCGTCTAGATTCATTCAACTAGATTATATATTACATTGTCTAACTTTTTTCAAAACCACTCTGAAATTCTCAGATCGAGCCAGCCTCTTTGGCGCAGTGGTAACGCGTAGCACTTGTATCTACACTTCTTCCCCTTGTACAAGGTGCGGCAGTATGAGCAATGCTAAGATCGCTCGTTCGATTCGGGCAGGAGGCATTGATATATGTTCTTTTTTGCTTGCGGGGCACGCTGGGCCTGAGTTTTGAAGGGATCGGATGGGTGGGAGAAAAGTTATGAGGATCTCAAGATTTTTGTTTGGATATTTTTTTTTGGGTCTGAATTGTCTGTCCACTTTAGTGTTGATCTTAGGCGGCGGCTCCAGGGAAAGGAGGAGGGGAGATGGCATGGCAGAGTGCAAACCGCGCACGTTGGCCTCATGTTATATATATATGTGCCTAGTTTCATATTCTTTCTTTTTTTGTTTGTTCATTTGGTCGTAATGCCTTCTCAATATGAGGGTATCTAAATATGGCTGTTGAAAGGCCCTTTTGTCACCCCCAAAAATTCTCCATGCAGTCAAAAGCAGCAGTCTAATGCGCTTCAGCGCTCCCACGCCGTTACCAGCCAGTCCATCGCTGACCGGGCTCGACACGACCATGCTTTCTCGCAGATTGTTGAAATACTTCCCATCTCCTTTTCACGATTCCAACGACACGCTTTAGCTGGAAGGAGTGTATGTCTGCTTTGGCTCAGGGAACGACGGGCCGAGCTCCTGGATGCTGAGCTTTGCGAGCCATTGACCCATATCAATTGACTCCTTCAGATCCTTGCCTTGTACAACACCGGCTACGAAGCCACCGGCAAATGCATCACCGGCACCGTTTGTGTCGTTGATCTTCTCTGCGCCAATTGCGTGGACGGGTACCTCCTTGACGTCTGCGTCGGCGCCCTCCTTCGCTGTGACGGCGATGGTGGGGTCGGTGCCCTGTGTGAAGACGACTGTGCGGGCGCGCTGGGTGTTCTTCTTGGGCAGCGCGGCGATCTTCTTTGCGATCTCCTTGACGTCGGTGGTGCCATAGGAGTGGGATTCGGCAAAGGCGGCGGCTTCGGTCTCGTTGCCGATGAGGATGTCGACGTAAGGGAGGACGGAGTCGACGGGGTCTTTGAAGAATTGTGCGATGAAGGGGGCGGAGAGGTTGAGGATGAATGGCTAGGAATAGTGGTATCAGTATACAAGTATCGAGGACCCCTCTCATTTTCAGGTTCGATTCTTACCTTGTTCTTAGCAGCGGCCTCCTCGGCAAGAGCCAAGATAGCAGGCACGCAGACGGTGAAGTGGTATCCACCGACATAGTACACCTGTGCGTTCTCAACCTGCTTCCAGATGTGGTCCTGCTTCAAGTGCTCAATCTTGTAGTTGTTGGCGGCTGCAAGATCGGTGCACAGCGAGCGGTTGTGGCCTGTGATGACGACTCCGCAGCGACCGGTGGGCGTCTTCTCATCGTAGAAGTACTCAGTCTTGACGCCGGCCTTGGTCATGATGCCCTCGAGCATCTCGCCGTACTTGTCTTTGCCGATGCAACCGATGTAGACTGTCGAGTTGGGCGCGAGGATGTACTATTGATTCGTTGGTTTCTTTCTGCTATGTTCAAGTGAGAGGAAGAAATACCTGTGCGCCTCTGGCAGTGTTCTGTGCCGCACCGCCAGCAATGAGCTTCGCATCGAAGTTCTGGATCAGGTCGTCGTAGAGATCCATGTGCTTCTCTGGGTCGGCAAGAATGGCATCGTTGGCCTTGAGGCCGTACTTCTCAAGGAGCTTCTCATCGCTGCTGAATGTTAGATTTGCTTACTCTGGTGCTCAACAACAAAAGCGGTAAGCACAACTGAGCACTGCAAAACAATCGGGACTTACGCAACACCCTGGATATCCAGCAGCGGGTTTTCGAGGCACAAGAGTTCGTATTTTCCAGACATGATTGCGTTGTGTATGGTGAGAGTGTAAAGAAGTGTGTTGTTGTGGTGTCGTAATGGGGAGGGAGAAAGTGTAGAATGTGGGGCTGACTTTTTGGAATCGAGGGGTAGCAAGCTGACACGCTAGTGCTCTCCACACTCAACATGGGGACGCAAGAGAGACGCAACGATCATTTTTTCGACATGTGCGAAGTTTTGATCCGACGAAGACTTTGGTTCGGTGTCGAAAAGGTGGAATGTGAAAGCGTTTCATTGCGTTATTGATGTGTGCACCTTTCCGTTCTACTACATATCCTTTCTCCAGCTTACCTCGCCGATCCAACAATCTACGAGCACATTGGGGCCCTACAACGACCAAGTTACCTTCTTTCATCCGCAGTCCAACTGACTGAAGCCCTCTTACTGATTTGCTGATAACACTTCTCTTGAGGCACCGAAGTCATGCCGAATGGTGGTACCCATGTCCATGTCCATATCCCCGTGCACGCCGTCCATGGGAGCCACGCCCACTGCTCCCATTCTGCTCGAATCCTCGCTTCTTCCTATCTGTCACCGCTGCTAGCCTAGTGGGTTGGAATCGGGTGAGTCCTACTTCCCCGAACCACGTCCTGCTCTAATCAAATCCTGAAATGAAGACTCTAGGCCGCGCTTTACTTCGCGGTAGCTAACAATCAACACATTTTGCTCGTCTCTACTGATGAGGGCAATCTTCTCGTCTGTCCCTGCGTCAAGTTTGTTGAGACAGTCAAGGACATGGGCGAGGTCGGTCACAGGGTGTCCGTTGGCGTCTACTTGATGGAAGACGTAGTCCCTGAAGAGCTTGAGGTAGTACCGCTCTCCCGTCTCTGCCCACACAGATGATGCATTCGAGGCGGTACTTCCAGGGACGTGCTGAGATGCATCAAGCTCAGGGCGCTCGTTGATCATGTTGAGCTTGACGAGCAGGCGTACAAGTCTCGATGACTCTAGTTCACGCCCAAGAGTATTCGTCAACGCGTCTTGGGCGTGCAGCTCGCTATCGAAGACGGACGCAAATTGATCCGCAATGCCAGCCAGGAACGTATCAATGTCTTTCAGCATCGGGCTTTGTCCGGTTGGTGATGCTGGCGCTCCGGGTGCTGGCTGAGGGTTCAATAGCCATTGAATGCATTCCTTCAGTCGAGCCGTGTAAATTCTACTCACATAGTCCATGGACTTCTGCATCTGCAGATGAGCTGATGCATTGTTGTTGGCGATGCAGAGGATCAGGCGACCCAATTGCACAAAATCATCTGCTTGAAGCTCTGCCACGGGTCGCGCGCCCTCAAATTGAACAATGTCCATGATGCTGCAAGCGTTTAATCGTATACGGTTCTTGGATGTGAGCAGGATTTTCGAAGGCGTGATCAATCGCGCAGCCAGACCAGAACCGTGGATGGCTTTCAATGCTGACGCGATTTGTACAAGGTAACCCCAGAGTGTCTGCTCCGGCACATGAGATGAGGTAGGCTGCCTTCCATGGAAACGTTGAGCTGGTTTGAAATGCTCATCTGCAAGCGATTTCGAGTTCGGATGGTAGTCAGTGACGAGGATGAGGGAGCTATCGCCAAAAGCTCTCGTAGTGAACGCTTCGTGAATGGTGACCACGCTCCCGTTTAGCACCCGCTTCCAAGGCTGAGCTGAGCGAATCGCCGTCTCGTTAGTAAGTCGAAAGTTTTCGAGACGACGCAATGCGTAGCTCTTGCCGTCTTTGCTTGACACGGCCTTGTATATCCAACTGGCGTAGCCGAATGGGGCAGTGTTCTTTTGTGGTGACGTGTCTAAGCAGAAAAGCGAGTGGAACTGCTCAATAGCAGGCAAGGTAGTGTTGGGCACAGTCTGACGCGCGACTTCGGCCCTTTTTTGCAAGTCTTCTCGAACAGTGTCTGGAATAAAAAAGTCGTGTGCAGTGCGCTGGTAAGCTAGAAGCCCGGTTGGTTGAGGACCAACCGGCCAGTACAAGTGATATGCCGGGGTCTGAAACGCATTTGCATTCTGGTAATAGGACCCAGAAACATCCTGTGCGTAGGGGTTGATTGGGGCGGCTTGGTGACTTGCGCCGGTGATGTTGGAGAGATTGTTGGACGTATTGAATGGATCGTAGCCGCCGGTCGGGTCTCCCTGAGGCGAGTGTGAGCTTTGTTGTATTGCCATCACCAGGTCAGAAGCCCTCGTGCGCAATGATCCTTGAATCACTGTATTTGGACGTGGAAAAGAGAAGGTTATGACGCACCATCTGGCCCTCGAACGTTTGTGGCACAAACTCTTGAAAGTCTTGCGCGTGCCACTCTATAGCAGGCTCTTTCGTGTGCATGTGTGGAGTACTGACGGCTGGCCGAATAAGCTTACTGAGACTGTGGTGTGTGTAATGTCAAGACTCACCGGAGCGCTGCGATTTGGGTGTGAATACAGCGGCGTTTGCAGCCTTGGGCGAGATGGCAGCGCCGCGAGAAGATGGAGTCACTGAGCCATTGGTGGCAGTTTGCAGGGGAGTAAACGACGGAGAGTCGACATTGAAGCGCTTCTTGGCGTTCTCACTCGAGTTCAACTTGTTTTGGTCGTGGATGTAGGGACAGGCTAGACAGGGTCACCACGGCATTCGGAAGGTGCAGGCACCCGCACTTACTGTTCTCGTAGCGACAGTGGCCGTAGATGGTGACATTGCGACAAAAGGTGTTTTTCGCTTCTGCAGAGGCGCATTAGACTCGACAACGTAGACAAAACGTGTGCAGGGCTGCTCATACCGCGACCTTTGGGCCGAGGAGACACTACTCCCCGTCGCGAGTCACCCGAAGGACCCCCAAACGCTGTTGCCATGAATCGCGGCTGGCTGATGGACGAGTTGCTGCTGGTTATGCTCGGCTGGCGACGCTGCTTGGAGGGGGTGGAGGGTGAGGGTGCGGTGTTCTTTGCAGGTTTCGAGGGCTGAGACGTGGGCGGCGTGGGAGCTGGGCCTGTCTCATCTGAAGACGCCCTCGTTCTATTCCATCGGGCGGTTGGCTTGGTCGTCTTGGGCCGTCGAGTGTCCCGCGCCGGCTTGGGGGGCGTGCTATCACCGCCGCGCGTGTGGACAGGTGGGAGGGAATCGCGCGACGACGACGAGGTCAACTCGGAACTGGAATTGGCGGTCGAGGAGCCTGAGCGGGCAATTGCAATGGCATGTGGCTGTTTCTTGGGCGGGGGGGACGAGACGGGGCGGGCTGCTGTTGAAGCGTGCGTGGGCGCGC